AAAACACCTGATTGAATGTATCAAATAATTATTCAACTCCTCACATATATGCTCTGAGCTGCAAAAAAGTTCTAGAAATGATTTACCCTTGTCATTTATCCACTACCAGCCCAGACTGAGTGTTACTCTCTGCTTTTCCATCTCTCTTACTCTTTTAACCCTTACCATGTGTAACCTTTTGTAATTTATTGTTGGTTTAAAGCACACACAAACCTATGAAAGTTGGTGGCAGAATGGAAAAAGATCATGTTTAGCAAATAAACAGACTGCATTTAAATTTCCCTTTAAGTAAATTAACTCTTCTAAGCCTTAGTTTCTTCATTTGTAAAATGAAGATAAATTGAAACAGCCAGAGTATTTTTGGCCATTAGTAATAAGATACTAATTACTTAATGGCTTGAATGTTAAGGAATTTATTACCAATCACAGCAAGAAGTCCAGAAGCAGAGTAGTTGAGGGTTGATTAAATTAGAAATTCACTGATGTCATCAGAGACCCAGACACTTTCTATCTTTTTGCTCTCCTTATGGTTGCAAGATCCCTGTTCACCCTGAGCATTGCCTCCTTATGAAATAAGATCCACATGGGGCACAGGGCAAAGGTCTGTCTTACGGCCCTTTGTGGGAGTGAGGTCTCCCGCCCCTACCCAGTAGACTTTCCTTTATGCTGTATTAGATACAGTCCAGAGTTATACACCACATAGCAATGCCTACATTAACCACTAACGTGGACCACAGAAGTATTGTGAATGATTAGGAAGAATTAAGATTTACCCCAGGGCTGAGGAGGGGACCATGAAGCATACCAGAACCTAAATAGAATATTCTGTTGGCAAGGAGAAAGAGAAAGAAGAGAAAGAAAGGGCAACCGGGTGTAAGTGTAAGATTGGGGTGAGAATTAAACTCCCTGGCACTTAAGAACTTCTCCATTATTTGTACTTGCCTACCTGCCCAGATGGGTAGGGGTAAGGAACATGTCGAGTGTCCTTTGTGCATCCCCAGGAACCAGTATTTGCCTCTCATAGAGAACATGTTTGAGAATGTGCACAGACCCTAATGGTGAAGCTTCTATAATCAGTAAGGCATATGCTGAAAGTTGCTTCCCCACTTTCTCACCTAAGCCATCTTGTCACAATTGGATTCATGCTGAAGACAGCTTCATGGTCTCCCTGGGGCAAGAGGCAGACACTTTGGGAGAGACATCAGATCAAACGGATGCCCTTAGAAATGGTCAAGATGAATAACATAAAATTTATATTTTGGACAGTTTTCTCAACTGTAACTGTGGAATTAGGTGACTTGAACGGCTGACACAGCATTGAAAGCAAAAGGCGAAATGGTTCCTGTCTCCATTTATAGAAAGAGATCATATTTATGGAAGAAGGCCACTGAATTAACAAATGCATCACATTCTGGAAATTTTTTGCCATAGAGGTTGAAAAGAAGACAATACATAATGATAACTATAAACATAGACAATTTCTCAGAAGGCTATGTTAATAGAAGGATTGTTATTTTCCATTTTATGATCTCTTCAATCCATGGATGCCTTGAGTAATCCTAGACAAAACACAAGTGAATGTAGCCAGCTGACCAAAATGAATGCAGCCAAGTGAGAAGTTACAGAGCTATGACTTGGGGCAGTATTATGAATTGAACTGAGATGGAGCTTCAGCTCTCCAGTTCAATCATGGGCTTGGAATATACTCCAGAGGGTATTCACAGCTAGGCAGAGATGATGTCAGATACTAGTTACAGAAATAACAAGGGTTGAGTGACTCATGACATATCATTAATCCCAACCCCAGGCAATCCCCTGGCCCAGAAGCTATATTTTATTGGATGTAATCAAATGGAAATAAAATGGGTAGTGGGATATAATAATGAGGAGTTAGGAATGTTAGGGAAGAAAAATAAACTAGCTTTGAGGATTTAGGCAGAAAAAGATGAAATAATGGAGAATGTTAATATACATATTTGGAAGAAAAATCTCCATAAATGAAGGAAAACACACAGGGAACCTAAAATGCATTCCAAGGAATAGAACAATTATGGGTAAGTGTGAATTTTCTAAAAATATGCTTTCTTTGGGAGGCTTCCATTTCTAATAAAGACTATTCATTTTAAGATTGAACAAGTTGACCTTTGAAGGATTCTTCTGGGCTTAGGTTGTTGGGGAATAAACATAACATAGACACATATACTCTCTCTCTCTCTCTCTCTCTGTCTCTCATCTTCCATTCTTTGGTGTTTTTTTCTTCAGATTCCTCTGCATCTCACAAACCCAACCCCATACCTTACCAGGTCTTTAGAAACATTAACTGATTAACATTCAAAAAATACATCAAATACCAGCTAATTTGTTCTTTCAGTGATAAAAAAAAATTTTTTTTTGCATGCAAATCCAAATAAATGTTTCTAGAAATTTTTTGAAACTTTTATGACAGAAAGCTTTAGTGTGACAGGTATTTCTCTACTAGAGTCTACCATTAAATCTTATCTAGTTTATGTATCCATGGGAAGTTCCCTCCTGAAGTTAGTAACACTCAGTGAACTGTTCATGAAATAGACTCAGAACCTGCACATTGTGTAATGGTATTGGATAGTCAGTAATACATTTAAACAATTTTCTAGATAGCACACAATAAAATCTTCTCTACTCTTTAATAACATACCATTTTCTGCAGGAGCTAGCATTTTTAATGAGTTATCCAATAATTATTTGCATTCTTCACTTTCTTTAGCTAAAGCAGCCTCCCTTAAGCTTAAAAATCATATAAATAACTGTCTTTTCTCCTTCACTGTCACTGCCCACCCGCATTTTTTAATGCAGCAAAACCTTTATTACAATAAACTTTCAGGCAATTATAAATGGCAAATTGATTATCTAGCATCAGGAACTTTCCAGAATATTTTGTCAGCATTTCTTCCTTCACAAAGACATTTGTGTGTTTAAAATGCCCTATTTTTCCAGCAGAGAAAAGTGATTATGAAAACCTACTTAATCAGCCTTTCATGCATTTACTAGAACTCTATAGAATTCAATACTGTCATCCTTTTGTTATGCTGATGTTTGGGTGTTGTGACATGCATATAAAAATAAAATTAAGCCAGTAGGCTTATCCCATTTTCTTTGTCCTGTATGTTTTCCCTGGGCAGATCTTGTCTATTTCAAAGTTATTTTGACTGTTTTCATCAGTTTGTCATTTTTTAACTATTTAAAAAATGGTGGAGACTTATAGAGTAGAAATCAGAGAAAATATTTAATGTGGAAAACCAAAGCTTCCATTGTGTGTTGATGGTCGGCCTGTCTCAAAAGTTATTTATTATTAATTTTTTAAAAAATAACTTATCAAGGGGCCCCTGGGTGGCTCAGTAGGTTGAGCATCGGACTTCAGCTCGGGTCATGATCTCGTGGTTCCTGAGTTCAAGCCCCGCATCAGGCTCTGTGCTGACAGCTCAGAACCTGGAGTCAGCTTTGGATTCTGTCTCCCTCTTTCTCTGTCCCTCCCCGACTCATGCATAAGCACTGTCTCTCTCTCCCTCTCTCTCTTTCTCTCTCTCAAAAATGAATAAACATTAAAATTTTTCAAAAAAAAAACTTATCAAGAAGTAAGTACTTCCAATAACTACTTAAATGAAATAGGAATAGTTTGGCTTCCACTCCTGCCCTCAGACTTCTCAAGTGCCTTGATTATTACAATTCTTATCACTTTACTAGAGTATTTCAGTTCTGTTCACAAAGGTTTTAAATTTTGATGAAGTATATGTATTTTTTTCTTTGTTGTTTGTGCTTTAGCATCATATCTACAAAACCATTGCCTAATCCAGGTCACAAAGTTTTAGCCTTATGTTTTTTTCCTAGGAGTTTTATAGTATGATCGCTTATATTTAAGAGCTTAATCCACTTAGAGTTAATTTTTTTATATGATGTGAGATGGGTTGGATTAACTTCATTATTTTACACATGTCTCTCCAGTTGTCCTAGCACCATTACTTGAAAATATGATGCTTTCTGCAATGAATTGTTCTGGCACCCTTGTTGTAAGTCAATTTGAGGATAAATGTGAAGGTTTATTTCTGTACTCTCAGTTTTATTCCATTGATCTATGTCTATTCTTATGCCATCAACATACTGCCTTGATTATTGGAGTTTTGCAAGTAAGTTTTGAAATCGGGAAATGTATGTCCTCAAACTTTGTTCTGATTTTTGGCTATTTGGGGTCCTTTACATTTCCATAGAAATTGCAGGATCAGCCTGTCAATTTATGTAAGAAACCAAGTAGGAGTTCAATAGGAATTGACCTTGTAAATAAATTTGGGTTCTAGTGTTATCTTAGCAATGTTGAGTCTTCTGTTCCATGAACATGGACTATCTTTGCATTTAAGGTCTTCTTTAATTATTTTGTTATTAATGCTTTATAATTATTAGAGAAAACCTTTTGCACTTTTTTTGTTAAATTTGAATTTATTCCTACAAACTCATTTCACTTTTGAAAAGAGAATGCTTAGCTTTTCTAAACATTTTTGACTTGGACAAACATGACAGAAAGGTTGATTTATACAACAGAATAGCCTTAAAGACTCAGACTTAAATGATTGAGTTGTGAAGTTATAATCCTACTCTCTGCCATTTTCATTATCTGAAAATAAATATTTAAAAAATAAAGGTAGTTATACAAGAGAGGTTTTTATGAAGATTAAATGTAGTAGTACATGTAAAATCTGAAGAACTACACTTGGCACTTGGTAAGCAGTTATTGTTATTGTTCCAATGCTCTCCTCCTTCTATTCTCTCTTCCCTAAAATGACTGCTAGGGAGCCACAATTACATTTGGTATTATGCCACTACCTTACAGTATGTTGAGGCAGAAGGTTGAGAATAACCACACAAGTTGTTGAACTCCTTGTTCTCCCACTGTTGAAAAGATTGTCTAGGAAGCCACCAATGTCTTCCTTGCTTTGTAGGAGTCTAAGTATCATTTTGTTGGTGTTTTACAGCTGGCCAGTTGGCTGGAAATTCCTCTGTTGAGATGTATCGCCAAGTGCTCCTGTCTGGTTGTCGCTGTGTGGAGTTGGACTGCTGGAAAGGACGGACTGCGGAAGAGGAACCAGTCATCACCCATGGGTTCACCATGACAACTGAAATATCCTTCAAGGTAGAGTGAATGAATATTTCAAACAGAAGAAGCTAGAGAGACCTAAACCCTTTTGGATAAAGTCTCCTAAGGTAGAAAGTCCCAGTGGTTACAATTAAGCCCATGGACTTAATTGCAATTTCAGAGGCTAAAATTTAGCAGTGTATTTATGGGTAATTAGCATCATGTCATGGAGAACTGTGGTGTCTCAGAAGTACTGCCATAGAGAAGACTTACAGGATTTGGGCTTATATTAGATGATTTGGGTGAGGATTCAAGAAAGTAAGCTTTTGCTATAGATTGGGTGCTGTCAATAAGCAGAAATAATCCTGTGATTGTGTATCGTAATAAATCCTATCTAGAAAGCAAGACTACAGCTGTATTTTATAAGGAACTTCAGCCATTCTTATTAGCAGGAATGAGGGTATGTTTGGTCATCCCCCTTCTCTTTCCACACATGGCTCCATCCTACATCATAAAGGGCCTAATATTCATGCATATGGGCACAGAAGCCAAATTATCCAAGTTATGTTCACATCCCCTACAAAGAGCCATCCCCAGGAGCTTGGAATCATTTGGGTGGACAAAATCTGGGGTCCTAGGTACCCAGAGAACCATCTGGGAAAAGGGTATATGGACTGTAGGGGACATGTGTTTTTTTACTGACTCAGGCTTCTCACCTCTTTGGAAGTGAACCAGAAAAGAAGGGCCAGAAGACAACCTCTAAGGCACAACTCCCAAGGCATGAGCCCCATGCCTGCATTAACTGGATCTCAGGGCAGAACTGAGTCTGGGTCATTAACCCTTGCCCTAAGCAACCAAGGAAACAGTGCAAATATGTGGTTAGCTAAGGAAGAATGGGGACAAGGCCATTGAGAACGGGGAGGTCAGTGTGCTGAGACACCAAAATGTTGGATGAATTATATGTTAATGTCACTAAGATTGGTGACAAAGCTTTGGACGAAGAAGGCAGTGAAGCATTTGCCAAAGTCTTTGCTGAATGAGAGAGAGCTCAGCAGATGGCACAAGAGAGGAAATGGTAAAAGCTGGTTGGGCTGTCTTATGAGAACTGGAAACTCAAAAGTAGCATTGGGGGCAAAAACAACAACAACAAAAAAACAAAAAACTCACTCTCCAGTGTCTAGCCCCAGGACACCTGGGATGTGAGAAAATAAACAGCTATCACTTGAAAGAGAGTAGCAAAAGAGAAGCAAGATTTTCAAGGGATATCCAGGTTTTGATTGAGACAAATGGATTTACTAATCAAAGGTATCATATTTGACAGTAAAAAAATGCATCCAGAATTGATATCATTAGCACCTTAAAATATGTTTGCTATGATGTGTCTAGGGAATTTGACTTTTCATGATTTCTTAAACTTAGGCTACAATACAATAGTTAGAAATAAATAGCACCCTTCACTAAATTTTACAACAAAGTTTAATATGAGAGTGACCTTAATTCTGATCAAATCTTTAAATTTGTATCTGCTCCTGAAAGGGAGAACTCTTAAGTTCTCTTGGTTTTAATAGAAAAATCAATGGGTTTTTGTTTCATCTCCATAATCCCCCACTCTCCCAGCTTCTGCCATTGTCCTTTGTCAGCTAAGATCCAATCCTAACCTGGTTGGGCTCTTTGAGAAAACTGGGGGACAGATGACCCTGGTGCACAGTGAGTGCAATTTGGGCTCATCTGTCTGTTGATGGATGGACATAATCCTGGGAATGGAGACAACACATCCTAATGGAGCCTTTGCTGTGCTAAGGGATGAAGGCCTTAGTCACTGCACTGAACCACTACAGGAGGGCCCTCCCACCACCACCCTGCCCACAGTCCCCTCAGAGTCCATATGGGGAGCAATTATATACTCTTAAAAATTTATAATCCTCAAGGTTCATTGAGTTCCAGGATGGGGAGGTAGATAAACACCAGGCACATTTTAAGTCATGTTTATTTTATGTAGAGCATTGGCCTCTTGATCTCAGCCATTAAGTTGGCTTAGAGTGGCTCTCCCTATGCACCTGTCTATACAAGTGGTTCTTCAGTCACATCTATAACCCCAGAATCATGGGCTTATTGGACATCTCTTCGTGGTCTCTGGAAGTAAACACATCCACACATTTTCTGACAGATACAGAAACTAGAAAACAAAATCTAGCCCAGAATACTGCTTCTTCTCTCTGCCTGCCAGAGTTGGGGTTGGGGAATGACCAAAGAGAGCAGGAAACTCATCTCCCTGGTGGCTGGTTTGTCCAGCCCTGCTTCCTGCTAATGCACATTTGCAGGATAGATTAATCTTGCTGAGATGTGGGTGGGTGGGTGGTGGGTAGGCTAGTATGGCTGTGGGTAGTAGAGATGCCAACCTGTTTTGTACACAAATATACAGAGCAGGAATTCTCTGAATCAGGACTAGGTAGTACTGGGGTGAAACTCGTGAGGTACCTCACATGCAAAATTTAAGGAAGCATTTGCTCTCAGTGTCATGTACATGCAGACTTGGCACCTAACAATGAGTGTGTCTTTACATTTTGCCCTGAGGCCCCCCACTTGCCTCACCATAAGTCCCAGCCTGCTCTGCATGATTGTTGGTAGGTAGGCTGCTTTTCCAGAAACCACTGTGTATGTGACATTGTAAGAAAGGGTAAAAGAGAAATGGGGGACAAGATCCTGTGTGATCCATCCCCCATTACCACTTTCCCCGTCACTCACTTGGCTACAACTCTACTGGGCTCTGCTATTGCTTGACCATGCTAGGCAAGTCCCACATCACAGCCTTTGCACAGGTTCTTGGCCTCTTCCTGGAATGTTCTTCCCCAAGGTATCTGCATGGCTCACCTGTTACCTCTTTGAAGTCTTTCTCAAATGCCACTTTCTCAGTGAGGCATACTGGGACTACTCTCTTTAGTACCGTAACAAGCCACCTTGCCCACCCCCACACTCCTCATACACTCCCCACCACCACTTTATTTTTTCTATTTACCAAGTGGCACTTTATCCCCTCCTGCCACTCCGCTTAATTTCCTTAATGATTATGCTTTTTGTTCGTTGTCTTTCTCCTTCTACTAGCATGTAAGCACCACAAAGATAGAACTCTTGGTGATGTTCCCTGATCCCTCCCAAGCACTTTGAAAAGAATCTGGCGTATAGTAGGTGCTCGATAAATGTGTATTTTTTTAAAATGAATCTTCCCATCCCAAAGCAAAAAGACAAATTACAGCACAGCTTTCTATTTTCTTCCTTGCCTCTGTTCATCGGATAAATGAATTTGGTCTTTCTCCATTTTCACGTGTGACATTCCGTGTATGATATATTGGTGGGCAGTGAAAAGATTCTCCGAATGTTTGACAGTTTTAGCTATCCCATTTATTTGGACTTGACCTTCATGGTGCAATTAGACTGTGTTCTGTAGCCAAAGCACATATTGCAGCAGCAAAATAAACTGATTACAAAAGTTCATCATTTTTATGTCATTACTGTTTATCTGCTCTCAATCTATGTAATCTGAGAAACTTCTGTGTGATCTATCCCCAAAAGCAAAAGTTCCTATTGGCATTTACTGCTTATTTATTATATGGGCCAAAATAAAAGGTTATGTTCTGGGAAAAGGGACATGCTATAAGTCAGTGTCTTCATGGAGGACTTTTTATTTTGCACTCCAGATTTATTTATTATTTATCTCATATATCTGCTGTTCTAGTTCCTTGCCTCATTGCCTTACCCTTTCTGATGGTCATGGCATAATAATTCGCCACTTGGCCTGCATTCTCTGTGCTCCCACTCAATCTTCTTTCTCCCCACACTGACCACCACCACCCCCGGGCTCCTTCATCCCCAAACTGCTCCTCTTTCTCCCCTCAGGCAGTGCCTGTGTTACCAGCAATTGTATAAGATGGAAAAGTTGGTAATGTGATAAAATAGATGATGAAAATATATTCAATTTGAGTATGTGGTTAAATCAAGCATTTCTGAAAATAAAGCTCTGAGAAAAATAATAATTTCGGATGCAATTTAACAGCTACGTAAATTCTCACATAAAATGGATATCCAAATACATCCTGCTGTTGTCTGTCAGGGATAAAGGATTTCAAGGGCAGTTTTCCCCACTGGAGGTTAGTAATTGAGCCATATGGTTTATAGATTATTGACTCCAGTGTTAGAAGTCCCTGGAAAACAGTTTTGGCTCAATAAGGAGCAATTGAGCAGTAAGGTACTTTCACATCCAGTGTCCACTAATGATAGCTCATATGTAAGAACAAAACTTAAAGCCTATGACTGGTTTTCTCATCCTTGATAATCATGCACACCATACAAAATATTCCAAAGCCATAAAAAAATGAAAGTTCTATAGAAGAATTTCGAGATTTTTCAGGTGTTCCCAGCTAAAATCATTAGATGAAATCTAGTAAATGTTTTCTTTGGCTTTGAAGGTTCAAAAAAGGTTCCCTAAGCTGGTGGCTAAAGTTATGGTAGAGGTGGAGAGAGATAGACAGAAGGAGGGGGAGAGGATGGGAGGAAAAGAGAAAGGAGACTGTAGAAGTTAAGAATGCAGTTCTGGAGCTGGTGCCAGGGTTCAGATACCAGCTCTCCCTTGGACTGGCCACAAGATCTTGGAGAAGCTCCCCTGTCAGACCTGTTCTCTTTCTTAGGAGCAGAATGGAAATGACAATAGCACTTACCTTCTAGGGTTGTTGTACGCATTCAGTGACCCTACTCAATACACAGACATTGCCTAGAACCATGTATAGCAAGTAGTGAGTGCTCTGTAAGTGTCAGATATTGACATTATGGTTGAAATATAAAGGCCACACTTTAGCTTTTGTTTCTATAAATGTAATGGTTGTGGTATTATATATGCAAAGAATTCTTATAAATCAGGGTGAGGGTTGGGGGTTAATGAAGTCATTTGTAAGGCTGCTATGGTTGAGGCTGTAGATGGCCTCCACACAAAACCCCTGGTATTCACTTCACTTCCAGGAAGAAACCCAAAGTTCAAACTAAATACAGCCCAGCCTTTGTTAGGAGCCCAGTGGGAGCTGAGAAAGGTGTCCTAAGTCAAGGGCACAAGACCAGGATGTCTGAGGCAGGCAAAGAGGAGAAATAGGAGGCAGATTGGATGGTCCAGGAACCCCCAGAGCCCAGCTGTGGTTCAGGTCATCTCAGCAGCCTAGCTGTGGGAAGAGAGAACCAGACCCAGGGAGCCAGGAAGCTGGAGGGAGGCACAAAGTCCTCACAAGTCCAGAAAAACACTCACATTTCATTTGCCAAATGTAAACAGAGACAGGCCCTTGGCCAGAGGCAAAACACCCTAAGAGAGAGGGGTTCTCACCTTCAGGCCTGATTCTCATTGGCCCAAATTGACCTGATGGGCCACTTCTACAATCAACCTTCATTAACGAAGGCAGTTGCAGTGATTCTCAAATAGCCAAAGGCAACAGTCATCCTCGGAAAGTTATCAAAGACTGATTACACTTTTATTTACTTTTATATTTGAAAGATTTTTTTCTTTAATGCAGCACTCAACCTTGATTGGAAATTTTGGCCATGAAATTGTTCAAGTTAGCTGAGCTATTGTGTATGGAATGAATATTCAAACTTCTTTAATAAAAATTAGATTTGCCTGTGGTTACATTGGATTTTAAGCTTTGCTTATGCCAATGATCACACTAGTCCAGGGCTTGACTGCCTACCTTCCACAGGCCACATTCAACCTACCCCCTATTTTTATGAGTTAAGTTTAGTTGGAACATAAGCACATCCATATGTGCTTTACATATCATCCATGGCTGCTTTGAGTCTACAGAGTTGAATAGTTGCCATAAAAATCATATGGCCAGCAAAGCCTAAACTACATACTCTCTCACCCTTTATAGAAAGTATGCTGACCTCTGAAATAGTCAATAGAAGACTGAATTGGAACACAACTAAATAAATGATACTTCTCTTCTGTTAAGAATGTTAAGAATTCATTCATTTATTTGAAAATATTTAGTGAGTGTCTAGAATATGCCTTAGCACTTCCTAAGCCTTAGGAACAGAGTCATGGAGCAAACTGAGTGCTTACTCTCAAGAAGCTAGTGGAAAGAAATGCTCTTAATAGTCTAGTGGAAAGAAATAGACAAAAATAAATACACAATATGGTACATGGAGACATGCCCTTTAAGGCAACATAAGTAAGTATTGAAGGAAAGAGGGGGCTAAGGTATGCTATTTTCAGTAGGGTGGTGGAAAAACACTTTAGTAACATGACATTTGAGAAAAGACAACCCACCCAAAAATAAGGGAGTAAGCTTTGCTTTCAGATAAGAATGTTCCTAACAGAAATAACAGAGATGGACAAATAAATGAAAGAGATGAACAGAGATAAAATCATGCCTGGTGTATTTGAGGAAAAGCAAGAAAAGATCAATGGATTATATCTGGGTGAGCAATGGGAAAGGAAATGTGGTGAATTTAGAGAGATAGCAGGTGCCGGATCTAATACGGAATTTGGATTTCACTCTGTGAAATGGAAGGCCAATGAAAGTTTTATTCCAAAGGAGTAAAATCATCTGACTCATGTTTAAGAGCAATCACTGTGGCTGTGATATGTAATGTAGGGGGTAAACATAGAAGCCTCTGCTAGGTTTTGCTGCAATAACAGAACCCCCAGAATCTCAGTGGTTTAGAGCCACTCAGTGGTTTTCTCACTCAGGTTAGATGTTGGCTGTTGCTCAGATGAATATTGTCCGCAATCCATGTGGAAAGAAGAGCCCAACGTGTAATATCACTGGGCTCATGGCAGAGGAGAAAGAGAAATGGCAGAATCACATGATGGCTCTTAAAGATATCATGTTCCGCCGGTCATTTTCACACACTTTTCACTGGCCAAAACAAAGGGCATGGCCATGTCTATTGCCAACAGATCTCACAGGAAAGGATAGTGACTCTGTGGTAATGATGATGAAATCTACAACAGCAGTTATTGCAAAGATTTTGGGGTCAGGATGATAGAGGTAGACGTGCTGAGATGTGATTGTATTCTGGATAAATTTGGGACTGGATTGCTGATGAATTAGAAGATATGAGAGAAAGAGAGAAGTCAAGAATGGCTCTAATATGTTTTGCATTTAACTGATACAATGGGGCCAAATTTATGAAATCAACAAAATCTAGCTCCTTTTTTATTCACACTCAACACCTACTTTCTTTATAATATCTATTTGCAGTTCTTTGTACAGCTTTGATCTTTGGTGGTTAAGATCATTGGCTGCATGAGAGTTACTGCAATAGTAAGAGCATAAAGTCTAGAGTCAGATATATTTTCCTGGGGTTTCTTGGATTCTCCTTTTTGTGACCCTGGGCAAATTGGCTAATATCTCTGAACCTCCATTTTACAATCTGTAAAATGGTGGATAATGTTTTCCTTAGAGAATGCTTATAGCATGAGTTAAAATATGTGTCTGGAACATGATAAATGCTCATTTTTTAAATGTTTTTTTTTTCTCATTTTTTAAAAGAAAGTGTGTGTGTTGGCTGTGTGATATGTATATATGAGCAGGGGAGGGGCAAAGAGAGAGGGAGACAGAGAATCCGAAGCAGGCTTCGCCCTGTCTGCACAAAGCCTGACACACCGGTCCAACCCATGAACTGTGAAATCATGACCCAAGCCAAAGCCGGATGCTCAACTGACTGAGCCACCTGGGCACCCTAATAAATGCTCATTTAATGGCAACTCTTATTTGTATTAATAAGAGTCTAAGAGGGAAGGTTTAAGGTAAGGAGGGAGGCACCAGTAAGGTAAGTAACCTGAGTTGATCTGAGAATAGATGCTCATCATGAGATGGGTCCTTTCCTTTTTCTCCCTGCATCCTCACAACAAGCTTGTGGACAGAGGCTTATCACCTTCACTTTACATATCAGCAAGCCAATACACAGAGGCATTAAGTCATTTTTCCCAAGGTCATACAGTTTGTAAAGCCAAGAAGTAAGATTCAGATGCAAGCCTGTTCGAATCTGAAGCTTCTGCTCAAATAAATCAAGAATTTCAAGTCTTGGTGTTGCTTGCTATTTATAGTGCACTTATTTTTGATGGCATCAACTATCATAAAAGTTAAACTGATAATGTATGAAAGGCAATCTGTGAATTCACTTCTAAGAAACAGTGAGAGTGATTCTTTTGCTCCGTACAGGGAAATTCGTCTCAGAAGATACATGCAAATGTAGTACAGAATTAGAAAGTCTTATTTATACTCTGCGGCCAGGGAAATGGCTCTCTCACATGGATATCAAGAAAGCTATGCATTGTTTAAGGGAGGTAGAGAAGATAGTGGAGAAGTCTTGGGCATATGGAATGAGAGTGGAAATTCTTATTTGAAAAAAGACTATGAAAAGATTAAATGCAACTAAAAGACAAAGGTACGAGTATACGAGTTCAATAAGGAAAACATACTGAAAAACTGATGCCCAAAGCTGGTGGATATGCATCAAAATCTGGTCCTTCATACATTACTCTATGCAACCAAAGATTAAAAATAATTTGGACAAATGTAGGAGACTATAAAAATATGCATATCGTTTAATTCAATAATTTCCCTTCTGAGAATCCATTCCCAGAAAATAACTGAAAATACTAGGGGAAAAAATGGAGATGTTCTTTGTAGAACTATCTGAATGATAGCTCTTTAAATATGTCTGTCCAACAGTTGGGTAATGGTTAAATCAATTAATACTACTACTCCCTAGGATTTTATACAGATTTTAAACCTTATGACATACACATTTTTTAAAATACACAGGTTGAGGAATGAAGTACTGATACATGTTACAACATGGATGAACCTTGAAAGCATGCTAAGTGAAAGACGCCAGAATGGAAAAGGCCACATACTGTATGATCCCATTTATATGAAATATTTGGGATAGGCAAATCTATGGAGACAGAAAGTATATTAGTGGGTGCCTTGGGCAGGTGCATGGGGGGGGATGGGAAAATAGGGAGTGACTGCTAATGGGTACATGGCTTCTTTTGGGGGTGATAAAAATCTTCTAATTTAGTTGGGGATGATGGTTGCACAACTCTGTGAATATAGTAAAAACCATTCAGTTGTACACTTTAAATGGTTGCTTTTAAGTAAAGTGATACCTCAAAAACAATGCTTAAAAAATACAAGTAGACTATTTACTATAATGAAAACCAAGTTATACTAATAAATGAAAAACCCACTAGAAGTAAATATAACCAAATGCCAACAGTCATTTGGCTCCCAGGGTGAATTTATGGGTGAAAACTGTTGCCTTCTCTAGTCCAAATTTTTTATAATGTGATTAGATTTCTTTCATAAGAATAATAACTAAATATAGGGCGCCTGGGTGGCTCAGTCGGTTGACCGACCGACTTTAGCTCGCTCATGATCTCACGGTTTGTGAGTTCGAGCCCCGCATCGGGCTCTGTGCTGACAACTCTGAGCCTGGTGCCTGCTTCGGATTCTGTGTCTCCCTCTCTCTCTGCCCCTCCCCCACTCATGCTCTGTCTCTCTCTTGTCTCAGAAATAAACATTAAAAAAATGTTTTTAAAAAAGAAAAATACCTAAATATAACTAGCAAATAGAAGAATTGTTCTCTTTTACAATTGTGTCTCCCCCTCCACCAAATCAGTCTTCTTTCTTTCCACTTTTTTAAGTACAGAGTCAGAAAATGTATAGTTTGGCAGCTCCTGCAATGCCTTCTGGTGATTTCAGGCCATTCCATACAATTCTATGAATGAAAAAGGCAGCCACATTAAGGGAAAATGTATATACACATTAGCATTCTGGCATATTGAATATACATGTGTTCTCATTTTTAGGAAGTGATAGAAGCAATTGCTGAGTGTGCATTTAAGACGTCACCTTTTCCAATTCTGCTTTCATTTGAGAACCACGTAGATTCGTAAGTATTCCACACATTCAGTGGGGAGTCTTTTTCCCAAATAGGGCATGTTTAATAATTGTTCATCAGATTTAAGACCATTTGATATTATTAATGGTGTTCCTCAATTATGTTATATCTGAAGTGTCATGTTTTCATCTGCATATGATGGGATTCATTCATTCAAATCTCATTAACATAATAATCCAGTGGACTTGTGGAATCTTTTTTCAGGTCACACAATAGGATTTTAAATTAAGGACTCCTCTTTTTGCAATGCAGGGGAATAATACATGTCTCTATTTCAATGGGCCACTTTTATAATCCTCCTTCATTAGCTCCTTCTATTGCGTGCAAATTTGTAGTCCATTTTGCCACATGAAAATGACCAGTTCCATACAAGCTGAAGCTGGTGGAGGGAAAGCTATAAATTCTATTCTGTCACCTGCACTTATGCAGAACTCAGACCACCAAATGCTCCCTCTTTCGTCTTCCCATTGGTTGCCCTTGTTTGCTAATATTTGTGAGTTGTTCCTATTTCAAAATAGCTTGCATTTATCGCTAAGCCACACAAAGAAAAGATAGTTTGCCTAAAGTCTTTTATATTCATTTTATCACAAAATACCAGAGTAAGATACATTTATATCTAAAATGTGGGTATTAGTTTACCCTATAGTTACCCAATTTAAAGTGCTCCAAAATGAAAGAGTCTTCTTTGTATTGAATCAAAATTCAAGAAACTAAAATTCTAGTCCATGGAATTAATGTCTGAAGACTAGTATAGTGTATACCATTGCTCAAAAGAATATTTATGAAGCCCTCTCTTTCATTTCAATGACCTAAGCTAGATTTCTCAACTAAAAGCCAACAGCACCTGTCCTAATTTGGCTCACAGGTTCCTTTTCTCCCCCCTTCTTATTGAAAGTCTTTTCCAGATCACTTATTGATTCCCTTTTTCCAACTAGTTTGTGACACATGCATTAACTCACCAGTTATTTAAGAATTCACTAAAATCTTAAAAGAAACAGTTTGGTCATGCACGAATTTCAGCTTGAGGAATTTCCAAGTACTTAAATGTGATTATTTGTTAATGTATACATGGAGAGAGACCTTACTCTGAAGTAACCAATTTTATAATTATCTGTATTTCTAGTCTGCCCTCAGGAAATCCATATTACATTTACCAGCTCTTGGTTCTGTTTCACTGGGAAACAGTCATCCAACGAATGATTTAATCATTTGGCAGATAGTTTTTCTAACACTTCTGAGGGTCAATTGAAGAGAAAATAATTGATTGTTTCACTGCTATTTCTCTTGGAACTAAAGGGAGCACCTCTTTCGTTGCTGTATTTAATACCTCATTTGCTGTGACAGCTCTGACTTGCGCATGAGCATTTTCTCATCTCAGCCAGTCCGTTTGTAATTGAGCTCTAGCAGTGCTTCAGCGCCTTCTTTCAGGCACTGTCGTTCCCAGACCTGTTGATGTATTACGTCCTTTTTAGAGAAATATCTCTAAATCTAGCACATTTATTTTCTGCGAGAAATGTTTTTGTATAAACTAGACAAGATGAAAAACTATAGTTCCATTCTTGATTCTCACATCTGCTTCATTGAACTTTCCTATAAGGTAACCAGAGAGGTATCAACAACCACTACCACCAGAAACATAACAGCTAATATTTATTGAATTTATATTCTGTGCCCAGCAGCCTTCCAGATATAAGTTCATGTGACCCTCACCACAAACCCAAGTGCTCCTAAGAATAAATATTATTATGATAATCCTTATTTCACAGATGTTGGAACTCATCCCCAAAGAGAATGAGTAACTTACCCAAGGCCATGCAGCTAAGAGGTGACAGAGCTAGGATTCACACCTGGTTGGTCTGGCTTCAAAACTCACACATTTAACCAACGCTATCCCTGTGCCTAAGCAGATACATCAGGAGCCTTCAAAACATCGAATTAAGGCAACCAGAGCATCCACAAGGCAACTGCCTGTAACTGTTCCCTTTTATGTGGTTTGTGACCCTTAACCACAGGATATTTTTTGTGGTTTTCAACATCAAACATACAGAGAACCAAAACAGGGCTTGAAAACGAATCCCTGCATTGTACACAAAAGCCAAAAGATAGTACCACAATACTGCCCTTTCTGGTTTAAAAAATGAGAAATTTAGCTATTAAAAGTTTATTAATAATTCATATGTAACAAAAAAAAACCAAGGACACCATGATATTTACCCCAAACCATCGAGATAATCTGATGGCAGTGAAATACTAAGATCCTGGAGTCTCTCATGAGAGACAGTTGTTTGCTTCACGTTTCCATTGCCTTGAGCTTCACATATCAAAATTGCTCTGCTTCAGTCCTCTTCTGGGAGGACTCACACACCCAAAGAAAAGTTATAAGCTTTCCCTTTGCTGGTACAACCCTGTGCTTGACATGTGGGCCACTCACCTCATTGCTGAACCCAGCGGCAGACATCGTTCTTCACTTGCAGCCCTATTTCCTGCTAACCCTAGAAATTAATCTCCGAATCCTGCTCAACCCAGTGACCCTGGGACACACTTCCCAAAAACATCTGCAACCTGCGTGCCATTTCTAGTGGACCATTTTATTTTCCTGTGTGCTGCATATACAAAATGCCAGACTCAGAACTCTGGTTCAGGTTACAAAAGAAACTCACACTGGAAGAAAGGAAGAAATCCACTAGATCTTCTGGTTTTCTCTCCAAATACTTGAAATTACCTATCTGTGGACAACAAAGGGAAGTCTGCCATGAGCTGCTGGCAACTTCTCCTTCTCCACCTGCTATATCAGAATCCCATAAAATGCAGATTCCTGAGCTGCACTCCCACACCTGATTTTGAATTTGTAGAAATGAGACTTCAAAATCTTAAAAAAAAAAAAGGCCCTAGCCAGCTCTGATCCTCCACCTAATTTGTAAGCTAGCATTTTCATTAAAAGAATTCTATACTGAATTCAAGTGAAGTAACCCCTAGTTCTGGTTCAGCCACAGATAATGTGAGATTTTGGACAAAGTCCTTAATCTCCGTGGGTAAGAGCTTCCTCATCTATAGAGAAGGAGGTTGTTTTAGTTCAACATGGGGGGTTTACACCATGACATTTCATGGGGTGCATTCCTTTGTCAGAAAACTGACCACCTGGCCAGGTTCCTACATTTTAGGGGTATTTCATATATCCAGATGTGCCTGCTACGGCCCAAACTCCAAATGTATTTGTGAGTATTTCCTGTCACTTCATCTCCGTGGTAGCTGATGTGGATGCTCTGAGTGCTTCAGGAATTTTTATTCTTGCTCTGTAACTGCAGTGTGAATGTCTTTTACTTCCACAGCTCTGACCCACAAAGTTGCTTTGTTTTCCTCTTTTTCTATTCAGTTTGCTCTCTGCTCTGAGTCCATTCCCTGTCAGGTGGGTGTGTGAGTTTGGGGAGAACGTGAATAGCCTGATTACCAAGTAGCACATATTACTTCTTCTTGGAAAACTGCCTCTTGTTCTCTTCATTTCAGTTGATCTTGAGGTAGATTTTAAAATGTCTAGGTCAGACTTAGATCCTTGTTTCCCGGAGTGTGGTTAATCTGTGGGCCAGTGGCAGCCTCATCATTGAGGAGCTTGTCAGAAATGCAGAGTTGGGGCGGCTGGCTGGCTCAGTTGATAGAGCATGCAAATCCTGATCTCAGGGCATGAATTTGAGCCCCACGGTGGGGGTAGAGTTCACTTAAAAGGAAAAAAAAGAAATCCATAATCTCAGGCCCCATACCGATGCTGCCGAGGAAGCAACATTTTCTTAAGACCTCGGGTTATTTGGGTGAAGTGTCAGAGTGTTACCTTAAACACTGTGGAACTATCCATGTCAGAACTACCCACAGACTTGTTACCAATGCAGGTTCCAGGAGTCCTCTCCCAATTCAGTGAATCAGGACCTGGCCCTAGGCCCCAACACCTGCAGCACTAACAGCTCAGTGATTCTTTACTGGAATAAAGTCAGATTTTGCTCCAGCAAAATCCTTCCTAAAGCCTGGTTTGGGGACGGCCTGACAAAGGACAGAGGACTCTGCCTGCTACCTGCTTAGCAACACCTGGAACATCACCTCAAAATCCCTCCGCTGATGAAAATGTGGCTCCCCTCAAAATCCTAAAACAGGGCATTGAGGTGAAACTCTCCCTCTTTACTGCAAGTCTCTGATCAAAAGAACCCCAAGTTCCAATACTCTAGAAAAACAGCAGCTACATCAGCACCTGTTGACTCTTTTTACTCTATCAGAACAGTTCTCAAACTTGAGGGTGCATCAGAATCGCCTAGAGGGTTTGTGAAGACCCCCGAGTCCTGTTTCCCCAGAGATTCTGACTTAGATTCTGCATTGGAGGCCTTGAATCTGCATTTCTGACCAGCTTCAGGGGCTGTGGATGCTACCGGTCCATGGGCCACACTTGGAATAGCAAAGCTCTGTGACACATGGTAGTGCCATTCCGTGAAAGTCAGAGGGTTTGGACAGTTTCTTCTGTGTAGCCTGGAGCATGTGGGCCCGGCATAGATGGATCAGCTGAGGAACCTGTAGGCTTGGTTGAGCCCCTGGGCTGGTTATCCTTTGAGCAACAGCATCTGAACAGATGCCCGGGGCTGCTCTGCCAAATCCGCTACTTCTCTGCTTGCTCCCCAGCCTCTAATGAGTTGTTCTGAAACAACTACCCCTATGCTTTTCACGATCCGTTCTCTGACTGGCAGGTTTCCCTCTCTCCTTGACACTGGTGAGGAATATTCTGAGGACCACACAGGCCACACAATAAAGTCTCCTCCAGGTCAAGAAAGGACAATGAGCAAGTGTGTGTGTGGGCGGGGGGGCGGTTGTTGTACAGGGTTTGGCAAGTTCTGTAACCTCTTCTTTGCCTCTCCCTGCAGTTTCAATGAAGCAGTGACCTCAGGCTTCTAGTTGAAACCCAGAGAACTCATTTGACCCCCAAAATATACGCCTTTTAAAAAGGATATAGTGGTTTTCCCTAGGGACCATTGCAATACAATTTGAATCCCTAGAACATCCCCCATCTAGGGCGGGGTGGGGCGGGGAGTCCATGATCCAGGCTTAACAGTTATGGAAGAGAGAAAGAAAATTAAGAGTCACACTTTAGAATTGTTTTGAATTGTGGTAAATAAGGCTTTTTATCACTTACTTATTCTTTTTTTAAATTTTTTTTTTCAACGTTTATTTATTTTTGGGACAGAGAGAGACAGAGCATGAACGGGCGAGGGGCAGAGAGAGAGGGAGACACAGAATCGGAAACAGGCTCCAGGCTCTGAGCCATCAGCCCAGAGCCCGACGCGGGGCTCGAACTCACGGACCGTGAGATCGTGACCTGGTTGAAGTCGGACGCCTAACCGACTGCGCCACCCAGGCGCACCAGTTATTCTTACTGCAATCCCAGTTTTGTGAAAATGTACTAACATTGTAGCATGTAGAGGCAACTATTGGAAATCAAGTTTGACAGCCTGTAGATCAAACTCACAGTCCATAAAACCCAATGGAATTGGATACCTTTATAATGATACTTAACATTCTACAGAACGAGAAAAAAATATTATTGCTTTTTAAAAGGTCAAAGGAAGCAGGAGTATTGAAAAATGGCAGATATTCCCTCGTACCGACTGTGTTTATGTGTTAGCCAGCCTGCAAGTTGCCCAGTCTAGCTGGTGGGTGCTGCCTGGTAACTCTGGATCCTCTTACATTCGCCCCACTCTCCTAACGCCTCAAAGGCATCTGCATCCATTACTCTGCTTCATCTTCTTGGCATCCTCTGTCCTTTTCCAAGAACTGTGATTATCCTCATTTTATAGATCCAGAGTGGTTGAGAGCCTGGAGCTCAGTTCAGCAAGCCCTACAGCTCCAGCCTTTCTCTTTCAGATCAGATTCTTACCAGCACTTAGTCAGGCTCACACCACCTCTGCTGCCCTATTATGCACATAAGAGTTGCAGACACCTTTCCTCATGGTGCCTGCTTCTTATCTTCCTTCCAGAATCCCCTCCCAAGTGAACACACTTCGGCCTGACTGCCTTTCTGTGTTTTAAGATTCTCTCTCTCTCTTTCTCTCTCTCTCTCTCTTCCTCTCTCTTTCTTCCTCCCTCCCTCCTTGTCTGCCTCTCTCCTTTCCTTTCCTCTCCTCCCTCACCTCCTTAAAAACATTCCTTTACAGCTAGCTCTTTGTGGGTTAGACAAATCTCAACCAAGAATTCACATGGAGTCATGGCTGAGGTCTGCCCCCAAGCATCTTCCATTTGACTTAGAATCAGGAAATTGAACAAAAGGGACTGAGCCCATAATTCTGGGGCATTCAAGAATCCAGTGACTGGCAAATGACCTGCTGTCCTCTCCATCTGTGTCTATGGAGGCTAGCCATACGAATAGCCTTCACTGTCTCTCTGCATGTGGTATTCAAATTCACAGAAGTCAGGATAGTAAACAAGGGGTTTAGAGTGATACAGATTGGTCTTGAAGGGTAAGTTGAAGAAATCACTTCTTTTTGTAATTAATAACACAAAGTAATCATGTCCAACCCCTTTAAATAAGCCCCCTTGCTTGCTTTTTTTCTCATTTCCCTTAGCCCAAAGCAGCAAGCCAAGATGGCAGAGTATTGCCGACTGATCTTTGGAGATGCTCTTCTCATGGAACCACTGGAAAAATACCCAGTAAGCAGTTTCAAGGTTTATCGCTGAAGGAATGTACATATTAATGACTGGAGTTAGGGGGAGACTTCCTTACATCCTTTCCAAGTTTGTGTTTCTCGGGAAGATTAATTGAGTTGATAATGAAGCCTGACCAGGAGGAAACCGGCAGTGTGCCCCACTGAGGGCGGAAGACATGCATCTGTCCTCTTCCTCTGCTCACTGTCTTGTCCCTCCCCCACTGCCTGACATGACCGGCAGGACTACAGAATTCCCAGAATCACAAATATCTTCCATGGAGACATTCCGGGCCAGACAGGGTTCTGATCATCTCCCATGGAACCTCGTTACACCCTTTGAGAGACATGGTTCAGCAAAATGGGACATTGCAGGTGGTACAATGAGATCCCCACCTGGCCCTGCATCCACTCTTCACTCCCTTGCATGTGCCTTTTGGTGGAACAGAACTCAGGCCTCCTATTGCCAAGCATCCCTGCTTTGGGAAGGAAAAGCAGTAGGAACATCTTAAAGTAGCCTTTCCCCTCTTCAACCCTTTTTCCTCATCTCCACACATTCTTACACAATTTCATACCAATCCCCAGACTTGTTGTAAGCAAAGAATAAAGGACCAGTTTAGGGGAGTTCACTAGACTTGCTAAAAATAACTCACCTTGGGACTTGCACACATAATCTCTGATATAATATCTAACAACCCTCTCATGGGAAATTGATTTTCCCATTAGATGTGCAAGCTTGAAAACACTGGCAATAATGTTTGCAAATAAGGGTAGCTCGAATCTCAGGGCTACAAGGAAATGTGAAACCACCAGCCCACTTGGGCTGATGCCAAGGACATGTGCAGCTTACTACCTAGTTCCAGATGGGGGGTTTGCTCTTTTTAAAATGCATCTGAAAGGTTGGTTCTGTAGGCTTCCATATGACAGACACCCTTCCTGACAGACACCACACTAATTGGCTTCCCTTCTTCGAAAATCCAGGACAAAGCCTTCCTATCTGCCTCAAACCAAAACGGTTGGACTTATGGTCCATCAGAAAACTCATAAAACTTTGGGTTAGCAAATCTCCCAGTACATTTCTGTGGGTCTGATTCATGGGGATTCGTTGCGGAAAAATAAGAGTTCGGTAATTAAAATATGCCTTTCATGAAAAAATAAAGAACCATGAAACAGCCCCCATGCGGGACACACGCTTAGAACAGTCTAATGAGCTGTAATGAACGTAGTAACTAATAATCTAGAAGCTCTTGGTGTCCAACACTGTGCTGGGGGTTTGGGGAGGGGGTCTGAAAGAAAGGGGCAGTATTGTTAAGGAAGGTGCTTTTCTTTTCCATTAGCTGGAATCTGGAGTTCCTCTTCCAAGCCCTATGGATTTAATGTACAAAATTTTGGTGAAAAATAAGAAGAAATCGCATAAGTCATCAGAAGGAAGTGGCAAAAAGAAGCTCTCAGAACAAGCCTCCAACACGTACAGTGACTCCTCCAGCATGTTTGAGCCCTCATCTCCAGGAGCCGGTGAGGGGTTGGCAGGCTCTTGTTCCCTATTACGTGTGGTTTTAAGAATTGCTGCTCTAATTTAACTTAGAAGGAATTTTACATTCCTATTTGGACACACTTTTAAATGGTATGGGTTTTCTGTTTCTGCTGCAAACTTGGTGGCTTCATTAAGACTACACAAATGGTGGGGGGGCCTGGGTGGCTCAGTTAGTTGAACGTCTGACCTAGGCTGAGCTCATGATCTCGCAACTTGTGGGTTCGAGCCCCACTCCGGGTTCTGCACTGACATTGTGGAGCCTGGTTGGGATTCTCTCTCTCTCTTCTCTCTCTGACGCTCCCCCACTCATTTTCTCTCTCTCTCTCTCTCTCTCTCTCTCTTTCTCTCAAAATAAATAGATGAACCAAAAAAAAGCTACACAAATGTATGATCTCCAGTTCTGTAAGTAGGAAGGCCCACATGGGTCTCACTGGGCCAACCTCCAGTTGTCAGCAGGGCTGCTGTCCTTTCTGGAGGCTCTGGAGAATCCTATTCTTTGCTTGTTCCATCTTCCAGAGACCACCCACATTTGTTGGCTTATGGTCTCTTCCTCCAGTTTCAAGCCAGGAATGTCCCATCTCACTTCTGTCATCATACCTGCCTCTGACCAGAGGCAAGAAAGGTCCTTTGCTTTTAGGAACTCACACCATTACATTGGACCCATTTGGATAAACCAGGATAATCTTCCCCAGCTCAATCTTAATCTATCTGCAAAGCCCCTCTTGCTGTATATTCACAGGGCACAGAACATATCCCCAGGACATGGTCATCTGGGGGAGCCGTATGGTTTTGTGGTCTGTCTACCACATCGGCCAAATGTTTGGAGTGACCACATGAGTTTAAGCTTCTCAAGGGCAATGATACCTTAACATTAACTTGGGTCTGGGCACAAGATGTTCACTGAATATGTTCTCATTGATGATATGCTGAAGAGTTCTGGGCAATTCAACTCATCCATATTTTACAGATCTCTTTTAAAATGTAAAAAGGTAAAGGCAATTGAATTATCTATCAAAGTTGCTAGGTGATGTTTAGTATCATTAATTTTCCTTTTAGATTTAGGTTGAAATAGATTTTTACGGATGATGAGAAAAGAATTCAAGTGGTCACCCCATTTCCTTTGAATTATTTGTCATTTAGTCTGATTTCTTTTTTAGCTTTAATCAGAATCTTGGCAATCTGAAAAGGGCTCTCCTGATTGGAGGGTGAGTAAGTGTAGGAAACTTGAAGCTTGAATCTAGGAAGTTCTTGAGTGGAAAGTTTAACTCACATTGGAACAATCACTTTGGAAAACTGGCAGTATTTGCAAAAGCTGAACACATGCACACCCTCGGTCCCAGGGATTCCATTCCTAGGTATATACCCAACAGAAACGCGTATAGATATTCACCAAGAGAGATGCACAAGAATTGCTCAGAGCAACACTACACAGAATGGCCGAAAATTGGAAACGGGATGACAAGTGCCATCATTAGTTGTGGTATATTCACACCATGGATTAATATGCAGCAATAACACTCTACAACTGCACACCCCAATATGGACGCAGCTCAGAAACAAAATGTTGAGTAAAAGAACTCAAATACAAAAACAGAATCCACTGTATGACTCCATTTATATAAAGTACAAAAACAGACAGAATTATCCTATGAAATTAGAGGTCAGGAAATGGTTACCTTTGAAGAAATGACTGGAAGGGCATCCAACGGGGCCTCTGGACACTGGTTTTATTTTGTTTCTTGATCTGGATACTGGTTACTAAGGTCTGTTTAGTCAGCGAAAATTCATCCCTCTGTATATATATGGTATGTGTACTTCTCTGCATATCTATTGTATATCAATTAAAAGATTTCAGAATAGGGGCGCCTGGCTGGCTCAGTCAGTTAAGCATATGACTTCGGCTCAGGTCATGATCTCATGGTTTATGAGTTCGAGCCCTGCGTCAGTTGGGCTCTATGCTGATAGCTCAGAGCCTGGAGCCTGCTTCAGATTCTGTGTCTCCCTCTCTTTCTGCCCCTCCCCTACCTGCACTCTGTCTCTCTCTCAAAAATAAATGAACATTAAAAAACATTTTTAAAAAGATTTCAAAATAATTTTAGGTTAAAATGTAAATTCTAGAGCAATCTGGTGGGGAAAAAAAGGTTAACCAAATCAGTGATTTATCTTTTCTTGTATGTTTCCATCTCAATGGCCAATTTCTTTTATGGTTTAGAGTAAAATTCTTACCAACAAATATATAATTATTTGAAAGGTTTTTTGGGGGCGGTAGTTTTTGAGTGTGTATTTCAAGCATTAATACATTATTCTGATTCTTTTTTCAAAACTAACTCTTGTTCTCAGTAAGAATATTGTTTCTGAAGGTTTACAGTTCTTGAAACCCTTGAATCTAGGGAAGAAACCAAGTCTTCCTTTGCATACAGGAACTTGTTTCCCCATCTCCCTTTCCCACTACCAGTTCTCTCCCTTTTTATTAACTGGATGCATAACACAAATAACAATTTTTACAGGCATCGAACGTTATTGCTTAATACAGAGAAGAATAGCAATCTGTTAGTAATTCGGTAGATTTCCTAAGCTAGCCCCATGGTCTGTTGTGCAATCTTTATTTATTGCAGTGGAAAATTTTGGACATTTTAATATGTAGGTAGTCTTTTGAATAATGAGCCCTACTAATTTGCCATTTGGCTTGTAGATGTTCTCTGGTAATGGGAACTCAAGTAACTTGAAAAACATGAATGGTTCTTATTTCAAAACTAATTTACTTATCATGGTGCCTGTTGGCCAGGTGCCTTTTCCAAGATTCATCCCTTTGCCAGTACACTTGTCTTAAAGAACTAGGATAGATTTTTTTTATGGTTCAAGGTTTTATGGTCTTAAGTTTCCTCCAAGATCCCTCAGAAGACTTATGAGGGAGAAACCAGGGTCCTGCTCATAGAGTAAATGAAGACAAACTACTTTCCCACATAAACTAAAGAATTACCTGATGGAGGATTATGAAATTATTGGTGTGTTGTTATATCACATGAAGCACTGTTACATGCTTTTGCCAAACAACCTTTGAAATTACTCAATTAAAAAAAAAAAAAGAATCCCCTCTCTAATTAAAAAGCAAGAAAAAAAAAAAGTAAAAAGAACTTGGGGCAACACATTTGATTATAAAAAACAATTAAGTGCCAACCTCCAAAAGAATGTGTTGGTATATAATGAGATATGTTTTCTTTCCAAATTATAATGGATTCCCTGTATTAACACAATGTAAGTATCATAAAGTGGTTGCATGTGCTTTCTTTCAATAAACGAGCCATAAATAATAAGACTTACTGGTCCTGGAAATCTTTTCCCTCTAAAGATACTTCATGAATACTTTGCTCACTGCTACTATTCAGTAATTGATTGACCTTTGCTAGTCAAATGAAAACATTTATAAGCTTTTTGGAAGACATGCTGTGGACACTGTGTCATTTACATAGATTGAACAGGGTTGCGAACTTTCACAAGATTTGAGAGGGGGGAGGACCTAGCCAGTGCAAGTTACCTCATTGTAGAGCCGATATAGCCATCTACTGGGCTTGTACTGTTATGGCACTGTGTGAACGCTGAAAGATAGTAGTCATCATATAATGCCTTCTTTAGTATTTTACTTGAAAATCTTTTTACAAAACTGATATTATCAGGTGAGACTGAGACCCAAGGCTGTGGAAGAATTTAATACTTCCTGCTGGTGTGAATTTTTAAGGAGCGGAATCGTCCACCAAATCTTCAGAGAGGAAAAATAATCCATTGAAATGACTGTGTGTTGGCTAAATATGCAGCTAAATTATGTCTGACCAAAGCAGATTTCCACGCATAATTATTTTAAGGGTTCATGCATTTTATCCTGCTTTTTGAAACAGAATGTCACCGTTTTCTAAGATACATGCATTGTTTAAATGAATGACAATGCATCCATCAAATAAGCCTGCAGGCAAATCGTAAGATACAATAGTTACTTTACAATTTTTGTGTCATCAGGTGTGCTGCCACAGCCCTGCCTTTCCTGTCCCAGATCAAATACTCGGCCTTAACTGTGAGGTCCTCTATGGCCTCAGAAAAGTAGCGGTAAAGTCACTGAGTGCTGCAAGCATCACATGGAAGAATCAAGGCTCAGAAAAAGAGGGAAAAGTGGGAAAAAGAGAGTTTATCTTTCAGAGTCCTAGAGACCCCCAAAGACAACGTACACGTCCATATAGGATGTGTGTACCATAGAAAGCTAAATGTAGATGACGCCATATTTTTTTAAACATACTGATAAAAATGTTAAGAGTTTTTAATAGAATTTGGACATTTCAAAGGGTATTCACAAAGTAAATTTAGAGAAAATATCCATATTCCAAATCTCAATACAATTCTATATAATTTATAAAATTTAAATATCCAAATGAATAATTTTAAAGCAGTGTTATGCCAATTTCCAAGGAAATTTTTTGTAATGCACCTGTTAACATGTGCTTCAAACTTGTAAATGTTTGTTTACTTCATGATCTGCTATTAAAATTTGACAGGGGAAGCTGATACTGAGAGTGACGACGATGACGATGATGACGACTGTAAAAAATCTTCAATGGATGAGGTAGGTGTCTAGGAACTGACTTCTGGTCACAGAGGCTCATCCCCTAGTTTGTCAGTCCCTGCTGCGCCGGCTGGACATACAGTTCATGGTCTCCTTCTGCCATC